GCCTGACATGCAGCTGTAAGCATAGCAGGGTGCGTCAAATGGACGGCTGAGTGCTAAAAGCGTGGACGCGCGGACCAGTGGGAAGCGTGGGATGTCGCTCTGTGTTCTCATAGCAGCCGAGCCATGCGACCCACCCACCTCCCACTGGACGGATGCGAGTTCTCGCATTGGTTCGCGAGCTCTGAAGCAGGCTCAGGTGGCTGAGGCGATGCCAGTGATCGACGCTGGGCCTGACGATCATCTGAGCCCTGAATTTTTCTTCGTCAATTCTGGTTGGCTGACCCCGTACACCACCAGATGCAGCTGGGAGCACTCTCCATTTCCGAGCGGTCTAGGGCCGCAATCCTCCGCTGTGACTGGCTGCAGCCTGAGCACGAGTGATTCCTTATCGACGCTGGAACGGAGCAAGAAGCCCCACATCTGTCCCCTGGCCAATCAGAGTAAAGTTGTAATGCAGCCAGATAAGCCAGGGTGGGGCATAAATGCTCTGCCAGGTCAGTCGCGGCTTCGGACACATTTTACGTTACGGCCCAAGGCTCGAACATCCGATGTTGTGCCGATCCCTGACATCGTTCCTCTTGTCCCTCGGCCAGTGCAATTCGGACAAGCGGCTGCTGCCTGAACGGGTCTGTGAAGCAGTTGCTGCCACAAGGAGCGTGAACCGTGTCAAGTTATGAGACTGACCTACCCCGCGACCCACCAGATTAGAGTCAAAGAAACATGAGCTAGTCTCGTTCGAGTATCGGGCAAATGTATGCAACGGAGCGGGACGTCATGGGCTTCTCGATATAGCAATGGAGGCTGACGGTGCGTCCTACAGACAGGTATGATTCGCTGCACTGTCGCCAGGGAATCGACGTTGCAGGTTCAGGACTGTGCCTCTGCAGATCACTTGTTCTCAGGATATGGGAGTCTAGAAGCTTGCGGCCAACCCAAATGCGCGGCTAGCTCGCAACGTACTGCAATCAATGCAATCGAAGTGATCTGCAGCGAGACTAGTGAGTAATATGACTGCGCTACTGTACGTCATGTAACCCCTTCGCCCCGCACTACCCTCACTCTCTCCCTCTACAATTGTCAGAATAGCAGAGATTTTAGCAGAGTTGATCAGAGAAGGCGGGCGACCTCCATCGGGGTAACTTGTCAGGAGAGTCCGCCAGGCACCCAGGGTTACCCTTGCCGCGCCTGACACGGTTCATGGATGACGAATGGCGTCCCCGCATTCTATTACAAATGTCTCGTGGCAGCCTTCCAGTATGGAGTCCAGTGTCCTGGATTTCGGGTTCGGGCAAAGCTTTCGGGCAGCTCTTCGGTCTTAGCGTTTCGGTGGGCGCCAGAACTATACTGCCTAGCACTGTTACAACCTACGTGACAACCTGGACGTGTGGGAAGTGCGTCGGTGACACATGCAGCTGTCGCCATTGCGTCAGAGGCAACTCTAGTCACAACCGCTTGCAGCTCGTGTCGTTACTACCTCCTTGGTGCTTCAGATGATCCTAAGCCAAGCGTCCTAACCCCACCGGTCGCATGCGTGTTCTCATTTCCACTGCGGAGTAAGTACATGGAGGTTCACGTGCCCCCACTTGACACCCCGGCTGCCAAGCCACCGTCGCATGATAGAGATGCCGCTGACGAATGAAGATCAGTGTTGTGAGCGTGCGTAAGCACACTGCTGCTTATCGATTGGGCGACGACTTCCGCACGTCGTGCAAACGAGGTGCGGGGCCGACATGTGTCGATCAGCTGTGATCGAGAACACGGCCGTGCAGTGCAGACCGGCTTCGGCCGTGCCACGAACATGACGGAGCTGCACTATTCTCTTGAGTGAGGGCCAGTGTCAGAGTATCTACCCGAGAGACATTGCCGACACAATGTCAGGAGATTCAAGGGGTGGTGTTGCCTGAATGGCGGCCGCAGTGCAGACCCGCTTCGGAGCTGTGACCTGCCTGTAACCACAGCCGCATGGGCAACACCGACCCCGCAGCCAAGACTCCAGGGGTTTCCGTCCCTGCCGCCGGCACCGATACGGATGCATCGCCGATGCTGTTTAGCAGCAAGAAATACAAATTCCAACAAACACAAATACCTTCATTTGGACACGCTGGACAAAGGGCCAGATTGAGAGATTAAGGCACGTTAGTCCGCGCATGTCGTGCGCTGCTGCGTCTTGAGTCTACATGAGAGAGACTGACACGAGGCTAACCCCCACGCAACAACAGACTCCTATCATGAGACTCGAAGCAGGCAAGCAAGCTCCGGGATCCTATCAGGCCCGGTGTCCCGGACATTGCGGGTGGAATCCATTGGTGTGCCAGAACAGGTCATCGGTTTCGCTCGAGACGAAGTGTATTGAACGACGCCAAGCAGGTGTCCGAATTGCCATCGTCGAGGGCGACATTTCTCTGATAACGAGCACCGGTGTTGCCCGCCGTTGCGCCTAATGTGTGGAAGCGACGTCGAACATGGCGGCGGTTATGCAGGCAGGAACCATAGGTCAGTCAACCAGCACCAAGCCATACTCGTCATGTGACCACTGGATTGTGTTCTGTTCCTGCCTTTCGGACGTGTGCTCTTTCGGGTCTTCTCAGTCTGAATTTGTAAAAAAACGCTGCCCGAAAGCCGATGGCATATCCAGGGCAATAAGTTGTGCGATCGCAGGTCCCTAGACCGACCAAATACAGCCTCCCTGAGTGAGCCTGAAATGCAGGTAGAGCAGCTGCTACATCCTACAGACCACACTTTCCACCGCCGCACTCGTCTCGACCTATAGACGTATCCTCTATGACGGACAGCTCGATCACTCTAAGGCGAGCTAAGGAGTTGTGAAGATCGACGTCCCTGTGCGCAACCAAATATAGCGTCAGCGATGCATGGCGCTGACGCAGAAGCGCTGATCAGACAGCCAGGTCCGTCCGTGCCCCCACTGTTCCACGGACGGACCGCAGTCTCCTCGGGTATGCGACTGCAGGGGTTGCGGAGATAAGCTGTCTGGAAGCTGGCACAGACGGCACTGCCTCTGGGTTGATGCTCTCCAGATCTGACGGGAGCCGGAGGAATATGATTGGGGTCAACGGCTTAATATCGGAAAATTGCGTCTTCTGCCACTTGTCTACCTGACACGGGTCATTTTAATATGGAAAGTTTTGCCTTGCTCAGCCTGCAAAGCCAGCGAGATTGTTGAGCGACGTCTGCGATGACTGCAGACACTCTGCCTGGCCCCACGTCGGTGCGTGCATCGATTGCCTCAGCCTCGAGATCAGCCCGTAACTTCCCCCTTACTCGTTGGACCAGCGCCCCTCACCCGTCGTCCCCACGGACAGATTGTGGAGGAGGGTAACGTCGCCCATCCGGGCCCTCCCCTGCATGTACCTGCATATTGTACCTGCATGTACCCTTGGAGTTTGTTCCCTTCTCTGACCCTCCAACCTATGAATGCACGTTTTGAATCCATTCTTCCAGACTCGAGTTCGCCTGAGCCCACTGGTCAGCAGACATCCGGCCTTGGGCTCGCCATTGCGCACCGATCTGCATAACATCAGGTCCTCCCGCACCACCCCCACCTTTTCCCTATAGGGCCGTTCAACTAGGGTTTAGGTGTCATATGCCCACACTCCAATGCGTTCAGGTAGCTCAGGTAGCTCTCCCAAAGCAGAACCCAAGGAACGGCGGATCCTCTGGGAGAGCTTGAAACTCCATCAGCGCTGTTCCTTACGAGTCTCCGCCCATCACCAAGGAACACCCAGCTAGCCGCCGCACATAGGCTAGGCCGCGACAACAGAGAACATGAGCTGCGGAACATTCACTGATTCAGCGATTGTTCCCTCTCCTCCATCCTGTCCCTGCCCATCTACGGCATCGATGCTTAGCTCCTAGACAGACCGGTCATTAGAGCAGACGTTCCTTGCCCGAAGACCGCGATCCATATCAGCTCCTCCCAGCTGATGACCTATCCCCCCTCTCCTATCCAGATCCTATATCTACTCTTGACTGATCTTCGCCGTCCCTTTTCTTCCCCCATCAATCCCTCTTTCGACCTCGCTTCCTCGCCCTGATGATCGTCATACATCACCTTACCTAGACGCACTCCACGCACTTGACATACAAAAGCCTCAACGGGAGTCACCATCTAGCTCACCGTTGTTTGTGTAGCTAGTTAGTCTAACCTTCCAGGTCATAGTCACCAACAAGGATACCACTCATCTGGTCCCCGCATCCGTGATTTCGCCTGAATCTCATCACAGAACGCCAATTCTACCAGAGCAGAGCGTATCGCCTCCCCCGCTCGTTGAAGATCTGGCCAGCTCCAATCGACAGCCCCTCCACTCTCCTCCACTCAATTGACTACCCCCCGCCCTCCGGCGCCCAGTGGTTGGTTCGCTCTGCGACTTGACCCTTGCGCGTCGCTCGCTCGGCAAACTCCCCGTCTGCAACAACCAGTTCGACACCCGCCCACCTACCCGGCGCTCTCATCCGAAGGGCGCACATCGGCCCAACAATCATCGGACCAACGTCTCAGGTCACCGGCGAGAACACCTCCACCGACCGCGTCCACCCGTTGCAACCGGTCCAGTAAGACGGCGTTGTGACTATCTTGCCGACTGTCGACCTCCGTCATCCTTACGGCTCTGTCTGCTGTCCACGTTTGATGCACCAACGCGACGTCAGCAGCCCTTCCATCGATTCAGCCTAAACCGCTTGATGATCACCAGCAGCGTTCGCCCCTACACCTCCCAGGGATCCGAAACGTACATATCAACAACAACCCACACCTGAACGCCTTGAACGCCAGTCAGGGACGTAGGTGATCGCCCTAAAAAGTAGCCACCCAAGTGGATCAGCCACACACACACCCCTCCTCATTAAGTCGCGCCTCGCTTAGGTGTGACTGTCCCAGCGAGGCCACCGGATTCCGCATCGCCATAGTCAGCACGCCGTCAGCACGAGTGCTGTCTGCCGGACCGGACTACCCGTTTCTTCTCGATACTACCTCCTCACCCTCCATGGTTGAGGTTTACGATCACTACTCCTCCGGTGCAAGCCATACTTCCTCGCCAGAGCTCGCCAGGATGCTACCTGACGGGCAGTACTGGCCCAACCGCGCCGGGTATCCCGAGTGGGGATATAAGTAAGTTCCGCTCCCGGAGCTCATCATCTGGAAGCTTCACTCGCTCTTCCGTCGGAAAAGTACCACCCCCTTCTTTATCTGCATAACACCTTCATTTGGATACACAAAGTGTCGGTGGCTCCGTTCTCCCAAGGCCTCTGCAAGCTGCTTTTTGGTAGTTTATTGTGGTTTCTGGCGTAGGACGCCTCCTACTTCTTCCATGAGGTCGGCAACGCCATACTCCCAGGCTCTTTCTTTTTCTAAAGGTTGGGTCTCCGAGTTCCAAGCCTCTCATCTTGACATCATCGAACTCCGCTAACCGTGCAGCGTCAACCAGGCCGCGCCGTATCCCGCCCCTTCGTCACTAGACGGAGTGTCTCCCCCACCCGCCGTACCCCTCGACTTCGGCGTCCCCACCTCTCTCCCTCCCCCTTCTACTGCCTCTTCGTCCTCGTCCTACATGGCCGCCCCCATCCTCCCGTCACTCACGAGTCCACCGACGATGGCGCCGCTACCTGGCCCCTCGGTCCCGCCCATGCACTCTGCCCACTCCATGCTTCCTGACCCGTACCAGCTCGGTGGCTACCCGACCGAGCAGCCCCAACAGCCCAAGCCCTCGGGACGGCTAGGTGTCAAGCGCAGGCAGAAGTACACGCGAACGAGGACGGGGTGCCTGACGTGCCGCGCCCGGAGGATCAAGTGCGACGGCGCCCGGCCATCGTGTCGTAAGTGCAACGTCGCCAAGCGCGAGGTGAGTCGAGTTTCGCGACCCCATTATCCCTTTCTCTTTCCTTCCCTATCCAACGGCACACCATCGTTGCGGGATTTTGGATTAGTTCGCCACACGCGGACCAAAGCCTTGACTCTGGTCTTGATTGCGGCGATCTTTCCAGAACGCGACACCGAGCTCCACTCGTGCTGCGCGTGCTGCGGAGCGACATCGTGCCGATGTCTTTTTCTTCATTAATGAAGGATCCTCCCTCGATTAAGTGAGGTCCCAGCATTCCCCAGCTGTTAGTGCATGTTCCGCGCGATCGGGAGTGACAGAGGTTGCGCATGTAGCAACCCCGAAGATCACTTTTTGACTCGGTCCCCGGTGCCAACGGGTTGGGTGCGTTTTTGAGGCGGGTCGGGCGACATGCTTGCAACCAGTTACGGGTGGATCCCATTGAGATCTGTGACAAAACTGGGTTGCGGAATGTGGATCCCCTTGATCACCCTCGCTTGCTCGTTTCCGACGTCACATCCCCGACGATCCCTCTGTCCGAAAGGCCAGATCCACTTGGGATCTTACCTTTCGAACCCGTGTCAATCCGGTGTCCGAGTCAAACCCAGAAACCCAATCGCGTTCCTGTTTACTTGTCCCATCCCATCACATCACATCATCACTTTGGTCAAACACCGCACACTACTCCCTGCTGCACCCGTCCATAACCGTGACTCAGTGCTGACGAGACAAGTGCAAGTTCCCGCACCCCGACGAGATCTCGCGCAAGGGCAAGTCAAAGGACAACAAGGCCCCCGCTGCCCCTCCCTCTACGGCCTCGTCTCATGCCTCGTCCAATGTAGGCCAGAGCCCGCCGTACCAGGGCAACTCCCCTGTTGGGTCTTCTTCGAGCTCGGGCCAGACGGCCAAGTTTGACATTGCCTCGGCCTTCCCCGAAGGCTTCGACTTTGCTGGCACGCCACTGGGATGGGACCGTGCCTCCTCCGCCGCAGCGGTCGGCACCTTCCTCGAGGCAGCGTTGATGGACAGCCTGCGGACACGCACGGTGCCGCCGGCGTCGGACCAGAATGCTCAGGCGGCGGCGCGCGAGGCGTGGCTGTCGTCCCCGATCTTCACGACGCCCAACTTTCTCGCCCCCTGGTTTCCAACCCAGCAGGAGCAGTCTCTCATCCTGCACTACTGCGCCAACGCGGCTGATCTGATGATGGCCATCCCGACAGCTTTCAACCCCATGATGGCGATCAACCTCCCGATGGCGCTCAACATGCCCCGCGGCGCTGATGCGGCGACGGACGCACTGCGCATCTCTCTCCTCGCTACTGGCGCCGTGCACCAGGCATTTCTCCTAGCCCGCTCCAACGCGAATGCGACCCAGACCAGCGCCATGTTCCAGTACGCTGCGAACCTGCGCGACGCGGCGAAGAGCATGATCCGCTCTGCGCCCGGGAACACGAGCGAGGCAGCGCTCAGCGCATGCACTTCGCTTGCGAGCCTCGACATTCTCTTCGGCGGAACAGGGTGGACGGACAATTTTGACCTCGCCAAGGCCATCGTCGCCAACCGCGGAGGACCCGCAAAGCTGCTCGAGACCTCGGCGCCGACGCAGCTCAGCGAGGGCATGACGGTGACCCCCGCCAGGTTGATTCTGGAGGTGCTCACGATCTACGAGACGCTCGGCTGCCTGACGACGGGCCGGGAGCCGGAGCTCCTGACAGAGGAGAACGCAGAGTGGTGGTTCCAGAAGCCCGTCAACAGCCCCATGTCCCCCACCGCGCACAACTTTGAGCACTACAGCGTGGAGAACCAGTTCGGCGTGTCCAAGGTCATCGTCCACCTCCTCAACGGCGTTGCGCGCCTCCTCGCCCGCATTGAGCGGTACAACCGCGGCGAGCCCCTGCCCGAGCTCTCGGCCAACGCGACCACGTCGCCCACCAACCCCCTCGCTGCAAGCATTACCATGCCGACGGGATTCCTGGGCTTCGACTCGGGTCCCTCTTCTGTCAGCTCGAGCACCGTCTCGAGCAACGGCCCCACGCCCCTGCCGGCCGACCAGCGGCCGAGCTTCGACCGCGCCGGCAGCAGTGCGTCCAGCGTCAGCGGCCCGCACACGAAGGAGCTTGCGCGCACGGCCAAGACGCTCCTCGCCGACGTCAACCTGTGGATCGACAACCTGACCAACTCGCCGAACGAGATCCACGAGCGCGTTCAGGTCGGCAACCAGGCTTATGCCTACACCATGAAGATCCTCATCCTCACCTCGGCCTTTGGCATCCCCAAGGACTCGCCCATCATCCAGGAGGCCGCTGAGCAGGTGCTTCAGAACTGCTCCTTCTCCACTGCCGCGCTCGGCATGAGCCTTGACCTCATGTGGCCGGCCATTGTCGCTGGTTCTTGCTTCGCGCCCGGGAACTCGAGGCAGTGGCTCACTACTCTCTTTGAGGGTTTCAAGTCGCAGTGCTGCTTCGATGTCGACACGGCGTCGACTATCATCAATGAGGTCTGGAGGCGCTCGGACGCCAGTCTGCCTAGAGCGGACTGGAAGCCCGTGTGCGACGACTTCGGCCTCCAGGTCTTGTTGTGTTAAAAAGACATGTTAAAGTCAAATTGTCATAGTAGTAGTTTAGAACAATCAGTAGCATCAGTATCACAATCAGTAGCATCAGTAGTAAGCGTTATAACTAGATCAATCGTGTTCCTTTTGGGCCCCCAGGTTTCTGATTTCTCGGGCAATGTATACATACAGAGAAGCTACCCAAGCGTAATGAAGTGAGCGCACACTGACACTTAGGCTGGGCGTGTGCGTGAAGGTTGCTATGATACACGACGAAGATGGGGATCGGAAGGGTGTGTGGGAGGAAACAAGTTGTTTCAAGAGTGGAACCAAAATGGGACACTTGGAATCTCAAGGGTGGAAGAAGAGGATGGCGCACGGCCATGAGCTGCGACAACAGCACGAACAAAGTTTGGATGTGAAGAAAGAAGACAACACTGCCGGTGGTAATTGCAAAGCGTGAGAGATGAGTCTTATGCGATTTGAAGTCGATACAGGAGGTCGGGGAGAGATCGATCAAGCGGCAGCCTGACGGTAGGGGTTGGGGCCGGCACTGATGCTGCCTCCGTTGCTTCCGGAAGCCCCGGTCACGAAGGGCGCGCGAGAGAAGGAGCCACGCTGCTGGTGCCTCGCGGGGTGGTCGGCCTCGGGGAAGGGCTCCTGATCGTCAGTTGACAGCGTGGACATGACAACTCACTGGCTGGCCCTTCAGAGCGCCGTCAGAGTAGAAGATCTGCGGGCGCCACTCCTCGAGGGCATCCATAACATGCGAGTTTCTGACGGTTAGCAGGGGTTCAAAGCATCCCGTGCTCACCTGAACTTCGTGATGAGGCTCGCCTTGCCTTGAATGTTGGCGTATGAGACCTGAAGTTAGCTGCGACGCGTCGTGAAAAAGCTCACCTGCAGCACCTTCTCGCTTGCGAACAAATTCCACTTCCTACCAGCCTTGAGCTCCACAAAAGTAAGCAGCGCCTGGATGGAGGTGAAGTTGACGAAGGCGTAACCGACGTTGCAGTGGTTGTTAAAGTCGAAGCGCAGGTAGACAAAGTCGAACTCGTTCGGCACGACTTCGCGGAGGATGCTGACGAGCTCTTCCCGCGAGAGCTTGTTGGGGACGTCCTTGATCATGACCGTGGTGCGCTTGTCGAGGCCGTTGATGATCCTGTCCTTGTGGATAATGTTCTCGACAGGGATGGCCTGGGGGTTGTGAGGCACCACTGGCTGCTGAGCAGAGGTCTGCTGGTAGACACGGGCAGTCAAGCTCATCTGATCGAGCACACTCTGGAGCAGAACAGGGTCTGACCAACGAGGCGCCTGGGTCTGACTTTGAAGGAGAGACTCATCGTGGGTGCCGTTACGAGTAATCCGAGCCCAGTCCGCGGTACCCGCTGATACAGAGTGAGTTCGGGAAATGATCGATCGAACAGTCGGGCTGGGGGGTTGAGTCTGCGGCAGCTCGAAGCTGTTGCTGAAACTGCGCGTAAATCTCGAAGCAGCGCGAGGGGCGCTGGCAGACGGCCCAAATGCCTCAGTGCGTTGATTCGGCGTGTCCAAGAATGTCTGCCTCGTGTGCTGATTCCCGTACGCGGCAGACGCAAAGGTGTACTGGGGCGCGGAAGAAGGCTGAGGCAGAGGTGAAGGAGAGATGGGTCGGCTCAAGAAAGGATCACCTTCCTTCTCTGTGGTGATCTTGACGGTGAACTTGAAGTCCCCGATTTGAGCGCCATCCAGGACCTGCACAGCCTTCGACGCCGCACGGGCATCGTAGTATTCGGCTCGGAAGATCTGCAGTCAGTGTCGGGCTACAAGAGCACGCACCATTCCAGCTGGGTCTCCCTTGAAGTGACGCAGATCACCCATGCGGCCAAGGATGGTCTGAAAGTTAGTCCAGCAACGATCTTCTGTAACTCACCTTGACGCCAGCGACGGTAACAGGTCCCTTCACTGTCACATCGATGCAAGCGATCGAGTCTTTCCAGACTTTCTCGAAGAAGTCATCAGCAGTACCGTCAATCTGGCGTTAGAGCACGCAACGAGGTTTCGACTCACCGCTCGTACGACATCCCTGCGGATGGCGGTGCACTGAAGCGAGACCGGTCCCAAGGCGCGGTTGAAGCGGACAGAGCTGATGAGAAGCTTGTTGTAAACCTTCATGGTATCACGCGAGTCGTGGAAGCAGAGGATGACAAAGCCGTGGGTCTCCAAATGACGGACAAGGATAGCACGATAGGGCGTGAGGTCCTTCGCAGTTAGCAAGCACTGCATGGCATGTCGTCCTTACTGAGATGAACAGCTGGAACTCTTCTTTCGACACCGAGATGGGGATATCGGAGATCTGTTGTCAGTGCTTGTTGAGGGTCTGCACGAACGAGGAGGTGGTGACCAATGGTAGCCTCGTTGACAAACTGCGGCGACCTCGTGATATCCTTGACCTTCCTCGCCAGATCCGGGAGCTCGAGTTGCGCGTTGTCGAATGGAGAGAAGGACGCCGTAGGGGAAAACTCGGAGCTGAGCCAGATGCCGTCACCGTTCAGCGCATGAGGTGTCACTGGAACAGCGGAAGCGTGGGACCCGGGTGTACTCATTGAGCTGTTGCAGTGCTGGTAGGTCTGCGAGGAGTACGTCTCGAAACCCTTCAGAGGGGAAGGAGGGCGACGGCGGCGAACACCTTCCCTGCGGCTGGGCTGTACAGATTAGCCAGAACACCGTACTCGTCAAGCTTACCGATACGCCTTGAGGTCCATGGATGCCGTTCATTTCATCATTGGGAACCAAGTCTGGCAGTTGCTGCTGCAACTGAGCATCAGTCCAGGGGCATCATCAAACACGTACTGCGGACAATGAGATCTTCGAGGAAGACCTGGAAATGTCGCTCTTAGCGTCGTTGGGCCCCGCCTGGCTCTGAGGCTTTTTGGACGACGGGGAAGTACGCAGGAGCGGACTGATGTGTGTGTCAGTGTCAGTCCAATGATGTGTCAACGAGCACATACGGGGAGTCGGGAGTGACGGATGGCAACGCAGCGCACTTCTCTTCGGGGGGAGTCGCCAACATGAGCGTAGACTGAGAGGGAAGGTTAGCACAACCGCACACTTCGGGCCGAGGAAGACGAATTCATGAGCGCAGATTTCCACCACGCCTGTCGGGATAACAGGCGCTGAACATCATCGAAGATCGAACTCTGAAGGATCGTCGCGGGCTCCGCACTATCGATGCTCGGACAATGGTGTGCTGCACTCACCGATGAGGGAGTCGAGTTGATGGAAGAGCTCATTGTGAAGTGAGCATGTGAAGAACGATCTGGTTGATGAAGTTCCGAAATGAGACGTGAAGCGAGTGGCGTTGGGGGAAGGTCTTCTGAGCTGGGGGTCCCAAGAGAAGGTACGCAAGGCACGCCAGTGCAGCGGGCGTGCCGCGTGTTTTGCTAGCGCGTGAGCGACAAGTGTGCTCGGATTGGTGAGCAGCGCAGGTAGTGATGTGGGACGGGTGATGACGGCCTACGTGCTTGGAAGGGAAGGGGATTGGGGACGGTGGAGGATTGGAGAATGATGAGGTTGAGGAGATTGAGTGGTGATGAGATGTCGGTGATGAGTGGACGGCTGGGGGGGTCGGTGTCAGAGCATGAGCGACGGATGCAGAGGTGAGAGACAACAACGGCGCGAGCCTGGGACATCTGGGACCCCGGAGCACTGGGACACTGGAGTGTCGTCGCGTCCCGAGCGACACGCCTGCACGCCTGCTCGCTTGCCGACAACACTCGCCAGTGCTGGCTTGGATCTGATCCCGTGGGCGACCTTGCCAAGCAAGCACATGGCAGGGGCGGTGAGCGTTCGTCAGAAAGAAGTTAATCACGGGAGGCTGGGGGAAGAGAAGCACAGACCGAGTGCGAACCTGCGAAATGTGGAGCGTAGACGTGTGTGCAATGTCTCACTCCGGCGGCACGAAACGGTGAGCATCCAACAAAGGGCGTCCGCGGCAGTGTGTCACACTGCAGTGCACACAGGTGGTAGCATCGGGGCGCTGGAAGACGTTGGCCATGGTTTACCGGTACGCGATGGGAGGGGACAGAAGGGGATGCGTGATCATGCTGATGCGGTGAGGGTTCGGTGAGAGACGAGTGTCATGCTCGAGATGGGAAACGGTCGATCGTCGACAGCTCGGGGGCGCATTCCAGGCCCTTTGCCACCAGCCGATCTCGTTCCAGGTCCCAGCATGTCAACAACCGGAACCAAACCCACGTGGACGCCACCGTCCACCAGGAGCAAGGGACGCGCCGCTGCGCGCCGCACACGCACATGACGCAGCCTGTCGGTGGACCATCAACCAGCACGTCGGTGCAACGAGCGCAGTCCGAAACCATCACCTGCTCTCTATACGACCCGACCGTCGGAACCGACTCTCATCTTTCGTCATTGAGCAGGCCACTGCCATCGCGGGAGCGCGAACATGAACCGAAAACAGCGTCCAACGTTCTCGAGTGCGGAGCTTGAGCTTCAGCTCCAGCAAGTTAGTCGACCCGCTGTGTTGTCCCCAAGATTAAGCTGACAGGATAGATCACGCTCGATCCGACATCGGCAACGACGGAAAACTTCGAAGCCCTTACACCGTTAATCAAGACCATACAGGAGAGCGAGAGCGAGCAACTGTATCTGAATAGCTTGGACCGCTTCGTTGAGGAGAAGGAGCGCGAGATCGAGCAGATCTGCGAGACCAACTATGAGGTACGCAGTGGCTCAAGGGCGAGGAAGACTGACTGGACAGGACTTTGTCTCCTCTGTTCTCACGCTGTCGACTGTGAGGCAGGGCACGAGTCATCTGCGGAAACGCATCGGCGAGCTCGATGGTCAGATGGGTGACGTCGGACGAGCGCTGGGCGAGAAGGTGAGTGTCTTCCCTCAGGCAAGCTGACGTCTCCAGAAACGAGCTCTCATTGAGCAGAAGAAGGTCGCGAGGAATATGGACGACGCTATCGAGACACTTCAGACCTGTCTCCGGCTCCTAGACCTCGTGCACCGCGTTGGCGAGCTGACGAGAGAGGGCAAATACTGGGGAGCGTTGAGGGTAAGCTTGACGTTCAAGATTCTCTAGCTGACATTCAGATGCTTGAAGACCTGTCACATCTGCCGCCTCCATCTATCTCCAACACCCCGTTCTACCTGCATCTCATCTCCTCTTTGCCGTCACTACGACTTTCGATCAAGGACGCAGTGACGGCTGGCACGAAGTCGTGGCTCTTCGATATCCGCGAATCAAGTGCCTTAGTCGGAAAGCTCGCTCTGAAACATATGGACAGCCGTATCAAGCGTTGGCGCGCGAGGCGGGAGAAGGATGGTAACATCCGGTTAGCGAACATTGGAGGAGCTTTGGAGCTCGTCAACAACGAGCGTACCGAGTGTGAGTGTGCTGCGCCTTCCCTCCCTAGTCCAGCTCTAACATCTCAGTCAACGCGCTCGACAATGAGCAGATCAAGATAGACTTTAGACCACTCTACCAGTGTATCCACATCTACGAGGCGCTGGACGCCAAGTCAGAATTACAGAGGAACTACCAGGAGGATCGAAAGGTGAGCTTCAAGACGCTCGCGAGCTAACCTGCAGACGCAGGCCAACCTGATTCTGTCGTCCAGGGCGGCAACGACACCAGAGACGCTAAAGGCGAATCTTCCTTACCTGATCCAGGAGCTTGTCGGCTTCTTCATCATCGAAGCGCACGTCCTTCGCTCCGCGCCCGACTTCAGGTCACGACGAGACGTGGATGACTTGTGGGACGAGATGTGCCGGCGCATCATGGACGTCGTCGGACAGGGCCTGAAGGGATGCAGTGAGCTCGAGATCTTCCTCGAGAGCAAGCGCAACATTCTGCTGTTCGTGCAGACTCTGCAGGGACACGGCTACGACGTGACGGAGCTGAACGGACTGCTCATCACGCTGTTCGAGCGCTACTCGGAGCTGCTCGTGCGCAAGTTCAGCGCCGACTTCAACCACATCGTCTCTGATGATGACAACATGCCCATGATGGTGAACACGACACAGGAGTTTGAGCAGGTCGCTGGAGTATGCTGGTTTGCGGCAGGCGAAGTCGAGCAGCTCGCAATGTAAGTTATTGCGTCGTCCAGTGTAACTGACAGGCAGGCAAGGCTTCCCGCAAGCAATGCCGTTCTCGCAGACGTACCCGATGTGCTGCATCAACATCCGCAGCTTTGTGGAGCAGTTCTACCAGTTCGCCGACGGTGTCGCCCAGCACCATGTGGATATCGACGAGGTGCTGCGCAAGTCGCTCGACGACCTGCTCACCGATAACGTCAGCAAGCAGATTGCTCGTCGTTTGAAGGGCATGAGCAACTTGTCGCAGCTGGCGCAAGTCGTCATCAACCTGGAGCACTTTGCGACTGCGTGTGACGAACTCGAGAGCGTGCTGATGAACCTTCGGTAAGTTTCGGAGCTTCTCACGGAAACTGACAGCAGTGCCTCGCAACGCGGTGGTCCCGTGACGTTGTCATCCGCACACTCTTTCGCGGACACGCTCAAGCTGGCTCAAAGACGAATCGACAGCTACATTGCGTCGAAGCTCGACTCCTTCTTCGACTTAGCAGAGTACACGTGGCTTCCCCGCACCCCGCCGGCGGCACAGCACGAGCCGAGCACGTACGTGTTCGAGATGATCACGTTCTTGACGGCGAACGTCGACTCGGTGCTGTTTGGTCTGAATGAGTCGGTCAAGACGCACGTGTACGGCAACGCCCTCGCCCTGATCAACAAGTGGTTCATGGTGAGCTCGACGTACGAGCGAAGCTGACAGACAGGACACGCTGTGCGGACGCGAGGTGCCGCGGTACAACGAGGCTGCGCTCGCCTACGTCTTCAACGACGTCACGTACATTCAGACCGAGATTGGACGTCTCGACCGACCAGGTCTGGACCATGTGTTTGACGAGGTCAAGCTGGTGAGTACGCGCAGGTTCAGCGGAGCGAGCGCCAAGCCGCAACTTTGAGCGCCAAACGCCATCCGCCAGTCCCGCGGGCGCCATCTTCTTGCCCGGCCACGGAGGCGTGGGGCGGATTCTTGGCACGGCGAAAACGGGCACCCAAGCGACCGTCGCGATTCCGCGCCGGAGCTGCTATCTCTGTGTTGACTAGCTGACATGCAGAGCATCAAGCTGATCCTCGACGAGGCTGTGAATGCCTACATGGAGCCCTCGGTGCGCGAGCTGTCGTACCGGGCCGTCAAGTCGCAGCGTCTGGCCACTATGCTCGGCAAGCTGTCCGCCGGCGCCGCCGCCATGGGCAACACGAGCAAGGCGGAGCGGCGCAGAGCCGAGGCAGAAACAGTGTCTCGGTTCCGTTAACCCGACGCCGAGGGCGGAGGGTGAGGATAGCCAGCGCGGAGACTGCGCGGAGTTCGGGGAGAGCTCGGATGTGTTGTATTATCACGATCTAATGTCCCAACTAGCACGATGTTAATGGGTCTGTCTTTACTCCGCGGCAATCCGGGCTTGATTGTCAGCAGTCAGGCTAACAGCCTAAGCACACCCGGTCGAATTCTGTAGTCAGCTCCGTGAGTCATGAGCAGAGAAGGTCAGCCACAAGCCAGAGTAACGATATATCGGAGAGGCGGGTCGCGCGGCGTACTGTGAGGCGTGCGCCACGGCACACACTTGCGCAGTACCATGTTTGTTCTACCGAGCAGTGGCCAATGCGATTAAGCCGAGAAAGCCGACTTGGAACGGAAGCTTGGACGGCAAAGTGACGTCGGGAACGCCACGGTGTGCTGCATGAGTACGTGAGTCTGAGTGGCTAAGCGGCGGGCTTGCTGTGCGGGCATGTCTGGCTATGATTTGTGAGGGCGCTGTAGATCTCTCAGGCCTCAGGGCTATTGTAGTCTCTCCTGTCTTTCTCAGTCCCTCCTTCCAGCCGCACATATCCCCTCCCTCCCCTCCAGCTTTCTCCAGTTCCTCGTCATTGCATCTCGGTACATCTCGGTCCAGCTCAGTCGCCATAACGTAATGTCATCAAGAGGAGACAGGCGGAATGCGCCCAGAGCCCAGAGAGGCTGGACAGACTGCGTCGGCTGGCTCGCGATGGCTCGAAAAAATCAGCCCGACACATACAAATCCAGGGCAACATTTCACGACACCCGATTGGCCAACTGGCAAAGATACAGAGATAAGAAACCATCAAAACGCAGATAGGAATCGTCGGTCCGCGCCGTGTTGCCGTACACCCGTGCCGCGATGCCGCCGGCGACCTGTTATGACCAGGTTACGCCGATGTAGCTCCGTCTCTGTCTGCCGTCTGTTGGCGTCTGTTGGCGTCTGTTGCCGCTTGGATCTTACTGGACGCCATGACATGCGCTGTGATGCTGAGTAGCCGGGCAGCTGGGACCATGGCGCTTGGAATCGAGGCTGAGAGTGCAAGAGGTACGACCGTGCATACCCATTCCTGCAGACCCGAGGAGGTGTCCCTTGACCCGAACTGGAGTACTGGGTGTCCAATACCGGCCAGTCGAGCACGACAACGACGCCGACGTGCCTTCGCTTAGTACCGTCCTTGCTGTCCGATCGTCCGACATCGGCCCAGCCTCGATGCTATGAGAGCCGAGAGCCGTGCGTCACTCAGCACCGTGCACTGTGTGATCACTGTGCTCTGTGCATGTGCATTGTTGTGCATTGTGCCCCACGTCCATCCTCCCAAGCCCATCAACGTGTCTACCAGTACAGCCTCTTTCAGGAAACATCAGTTCTCGACACTGCATTGTTGTCCGTTTCCACTGCGTGGATCACAGAGTCCGGAATTGTTGCTCTGGGAGGTATATACCGATCCTTTATGACTTCGGGATACGCGGGTTCTGATCCGATACCTGGCCATGAAGGGGCCGTGAAAGTCGCCGGCCCACGGCAGGTAAGCCTCGAGGCAAACCCGCTCATCGCTCAGCAGTGCTCGACAAAAGTTGTCAGCGGAGATAGCGGAGCGAGAATAGTCACATGTCACCCATTTACTCCCTCCGATCAGCGCCAATCACGAATGCATGGCTGCCTCTTTGGTCGCTTCTGCCGTTTCTCGGAGCAGCGTATTCTAAGAGAGGCAAGGGGGCAAGGAGGCAAGGCACAGAGGCACTGATCGCATAGCAAGTGGTCTTGACTTGGGTTCCTCCAGAGGCTGTGGCTTTGGGTGTTGGCGGCCGGGCAGGCCGTTGGACCGGCGGTTGTGGGCTCACGCACAGAGCACATTGCGCAGGTCCCTTAGTGTTCTCCTGTGAGCAGACGGGGCTGGCGGGGCTGAATGCATGGCGCTGTTCGGCCAAGCATGCTCTGTACTTTGCTGGACGCTTGCTGGAGCGCTTGCAAGGTATCCTCGGACAGATGGACTAGGCAAGAAAGCCAGGGGCCCATTACCGGTGCCAGATCTGAGGCACGCAGGATGCTCACTGGCTGGCTCGGTTTTAGACTCTGTGCAGGGAGGACGCTGGGCGCATGCGCCACTGGGCGGGCGTGCCTGGCTGTACGGTGACCCACCCACCCACCCATCCGGCCT